AAACAATTAAACAAACAGCAGAGTAACAAATAAATGCAATCCAGTAAAATACAAATAAAACAAGTAGACAAATGACTATAAAAAGAATGGCTACAAAACAATTTCCTTTGTAACACAGTGTTGTTACACAGAGTAGACACAGCTTAAACAACGAGCACGGCCACTAAGAATCAATAAACGTTGCATTCCCGTCGAAACAGCGTGGCGTTTCCTCATTGTCTTCACAGTTCCGTCCAACCAAGATAATTGCAATGTCAGCGTCGTTTCGTGTTTCATTCGGGGGATCCGTCACAAGTGGAACCTGTCAAATCCACAGTGTGTAGGTGTAAAAAACGAAAATCGACCGTTCGTCGGTTTCGTATCACGAAGAAAAGCTCCATTCGAGATATCGAGCACGAACTTCATCTTCGACCAAGTCGACTTGACTACGATGTGCACGTACACATCGTCACCCCTTTGAATTCCTGCTCGCCCTCGAACGCGGCTTAAGCCGCTTCCGCGTCGCACATCCGCCTTCCACCCTGACGGATTCCAATCTTTCAGGCTGCGCTTTGATGTGGTCACCCAAAATTCTCCCCGGTGTTATTAGGCGGGATTCTGAGGTGTGACGAAGCTCTCTTCGACGGAATCGTGCGAATGTCACTTTCACGCTTGCCTCGTCTCTCCTCGTCTCTCCTCGTCTCTCCTAGTCTCTCCTCGTCTCTCCTCGTCTCTCCTCATCTCTCCTAGTCTCTCCTCGTCTCTCCTCGTCTCTCCTAGTCTCTCCAGCAACAGAGCTTCTCTATCTTCCTCTGCTTTTGCAAGAAGACGGCGGAACACGGTTTACGGAAGATTCTCGTTTGTGAAATATTGCACGCAGCCAACGGTGGCTTCCGGGCGAGACTTTACACCGGCATATCGAACTAACGAAGCAACTTCAATAATTAATCCCTCCCCCGGTGAAAATGTACTCGATCAACGTCTCCGTGCGTTTCTCTTTTACAATCAAGATTCCCTTTGGACGGTAGAGAGCGGGCCCAAGTAAACGCATTAAAATGAAAACGTCCTACGCCCACCGGGCGAGGAAATTGATTTCTTAGGAGGCACGTTGCCGGTCAGAAACAGGAAACACGATCTTATTGAAAAGGAGCGACGGGGTCTTGGAAAACTTCAATGAGACTGGCAGAAAGGAAATTCGTGTTTTCTCGTGATACGTGAGAAAGATTAGTAAGACGATTTTTCTTGTGCAATTTGAAAGAAACTTGTTATATTTTATTCATATCCTTATTTTGTCGAGAATTGTACAGGGTGTTGTCTATTTTTTGGAAGAAACTGCCGGAGTATAATTTAGAAGGCAAAATTAAAAAGATATAAATACATCTGTGTATTTTAGGGGCGTTTTAGACTAATTTGGGTAATTAAGGTTTTTAATTAACAGCAAAATGACTGGGACTAAATCCGTACCATCTGGAAGCTAATTTTTCTTTAAAACGTTTAAAGAAAATTTAGTTTCTCTCCTAAAGAGAAACTTTAAAAAAGAGAACCGTTTATATTTATATCAAAAGTCCTTTAAACAGTCTCAATCTCAATCTTGAATACGCTATTACAATTTAATCAATACCTAATTTATTTCTCTGTGAAATATTATCCATTATTAATGACCCTACATTATTACGAATAAAAAATCGATCATTCCCTTGGATAAACATTTCATGCTTCTACTTCAATAACCATCCTAATTATTACGAGCTTTTCATAAAACCAGCAGAAGAAGAGGACCTTCTAAATAAAAATCAATCTTTCTCTTAAGTAAACGTTTCACGTCTCCGCTTTAATTACCATCCAAATTATATCGAGCTTTCCGTAAAACCTTATCTTTCCCTTAAAATTAATACCATTCTTCACCCAAGAAAATAATCTCTGCAAAACCAGAAGAATCTCGTCTTTCTTCGCTGCTCGATGAGAAAGAAGAAAGTTGAATCGAATTTAACCCTTTGACAGTCTGATAATGTTATGAATTGCGGTGAAAAGAAATTAGACTTTACACGTATCTTTTTAACAGATACGCCGTGTGTGATCATTTTTGAGATATGGGATACATAACCCTACGTCATAGTAGTGATAATAATATCTCGTCCCTTTCTAACTTTCTTCTTTTGAGTTAAACAGTTAGATATTTGACTCTCTGCCCTGAGTCTCGCACGGGATAAACTGTCGAAGGGATAATAGAACGCGTTCGTCCAGATAACTCACTTCTCGGTTGAAAAACGCAACACTCTGTAACGAACCAGAGTACGTGACAATTTGCGTTTCTACGGCAAACCGTATTGAATGCCGGGCGAACACATTCGAGTGTTAATTTCATGCCGCGTTCGTTGTCAGTTACGGGAAAATTACAGTTTAACCGGCTTACACCGCAAATTGATTCGGCGTTTTCACCTGCTGCAAACGTACGATCTTCTCAGGCTATAATTCCCTCGATTTAACCCTCGTAAGACGAATGCAGGGTACTTTTGACTCAACAGCGATAAAGTCGGGCGACTCGGATTAAGTTTGGTACAGGAAATACACCTGTTTCATGTATCAAGTATAAATAAGAAAAAATATATAAAATGTGTATAGTTGAAAGTATACACATTTATACCGAATTCCTTCTTGAAACCGGCGTACGATAGAAAAGTCGCTATAGGTCAAAATGACCCTGCAAATTCATCTCCCGCGTCCGTTTAACCCTTTGGCAGTCTAATATAATTACGAATTAGAGTGAATAAAATTTATATTTTACACGTATCTTTTTAGTAATTACGTCGTGTGTGATTATTTTTAAAGCACACAACCCTAAGTCACAGTTCCGATAATAATATCTCGTCCCTTTCTTACTTTCTTCCTAAGAAGGTCCGAGTCTCACTCGGGATAAACTCTTCGCAGTCGAACTCCGGGATATTCCCGGCAAGGCGTTTTTACCTTCTAATTTTGCCTCCAGAAACGTGAGAGAAAAAAATATAATGTAATGTAACGAATTCGTTTGAATAAAATTTATACCTTTTTTAGACGATAATTGACTGAGCGCGGGCTACCAAAAAGTAATTCGTAAAGAGTTAACCTTTTGCACTCGAGAGGCGACTGGAAACGGAGATTTACCACTTGGTAAATAATTAACAGAGGTGCTCTTAACGCTGATCTGTTCCAGGACAGCAGATCTACGGGTCTTCATAAAAATGTTCACCATACATTAGAGCTCTACAAATAGAATACGTAGGTCGATAGAACCAACCTCTAATGAACTCTTACAAGATCTCGTATAATATAAAAATACATTAAACGCCGAATTATTAATTTTACAAAATTTCATTAATTTAGCAAACAAGCTCTAATTTACTACTTCCCTGTAGCAAAAAGACCTTCGAGTACAAAGGTTAAAACCATCCACCCTCCGAGGGTTAATGGAAAATTGCTGGTTCGTCTAGTGAAACGCGATCTTTTTTGTTTTTGTTCCACGTGAGATAAAAATAGAGAAGATGGATAGGGATCGAACAGGTTCGATTGTATTCGATGCGAGAGGAGCGCATTTTCTAGAGTTTCGATGTCGCGCACTACCGCGAAAAGCGATACTTTCCAGCTTGTTTAACGCCCCGCGTCTGGCGTTGCTGAAATAACCTACAGCGGACGCGGCAGTCTAAAAATTCGCAAGAAAATAACTGAAAGAAAGAGAAAAAAAGAGAAAAATACAGCGAACCAGTATATATATGTACCACCGTGCGTTGGCGTTTTACGGCACTCGTGACTTTTGATTCACTTGAATCTTATCGCGTTTTTCGAGGGTTACAACAGGCTCGATAAACGACCATACGTGTGTTCTGGAGATTTTACACGCTTGACCTTACTATGCGGAACGATTTAGATTTTAGTCGTTCGGTTAATAGCGAATTAAAGACTTTAATCGTAAAAGTTAATTTCTTTTGTATTCAAACCTTTAAATTTGTACTTTAAATTGGACTCTAATTTTAAACGCTATTTTACAGCGAATCCTGGTGTAGTTAAGTGTGATTGGGGAGCCTAATTTGAAGGCTATATTGTAATCAACCCTGTTGATTTTTTAAAAAGAGAATGTAATTAGAAAATTGTGCATAATTTCGGATTGTTCGACTTGCAAGTAATTTTGATGGTTGTAATACGAATCGTTTCCATTATTTACAAAGTATCACGCTGTTTAAGGACGAAAGTGAAGTAATTACAAGCTTTGAACTCACATTCTGAAATACCAAGGTGTAATTACGGACCCTAATTTAAATGTCCTAAAAGTCTACTTCGTAACGAACCCTATTGATTTTTCGAAAAGGAAAGGTAATACCAAATTGTGCTTAATTTTTGATTTTTCGATTTGCAAGCTGTTTCAGTAGTTATATTCCAAGTTTACCAACTATCGCGCTGTTTGAGGATGAAAGTGAAGTAATTGCAAGCTTTGAACTCACATTTCGAAATACTGAGGTGTAATTAAGGACCCTAATTCAAACGCTACAAAACTCTGCTCCGTAACGAACCCGATTGATTTTTCCAAAAAGAAATTGCAAAGTTCTGCATAATTTCTAATCTTTTTACTTTCAACGATTGCAGCATAAACAATTTCCATTATCCAGCAAGTACCACGCTGCCTCCAGCTAACAAAACTCTGCATAATGTTTTATTTTCGACGATTACAACAGTTATATTCCAAATTTATCAAGTATCAAGCTGTTTAAGAACGAAACTAAAGTGACACATTTTTGTGTCATTTTGAAATACCAAGGTGCGATTAAGGATCCTAATTCAAACGCTACAAAACTCTACGTTATAACGAACCCTGTCGATTTTTCCAAAAGGAAATTACAAAGTTCCGCATAATCTCTAATTTTTCATAATTTTGTATTTTCGTTAATTAACAACATAAACAATTTCCATCGTCCACGCTGTTCACAGCTAAACAGGTTCCCTAAGAACGCGCAGGCTACACGGTTAACCTTGCAAACCCATAAGTCACGTACCTCTGGCGATTCGTCCGGCACCTTGCCCATCCAGCTGAGCGACAGGATGTTGCAGTCGCACTTGGCATTGTTATTCTTCTCGAAGTACAAATGCATGATCACGTAACTGGATCGCGTTAGGCGTTAGAAGGTTCGTCAAGCCATCGAAGCCGGCACACCGACCAACGCAGTCGTCCACTCAGCTAAGAAGAAGAATTGCCGAGCACCACACGCGACCCTTTAATACCATTAGTCCGTTCTATCCGGTGTTCCTTCTCTCGAGAGCGACCAAAAATCGATCACCGGTCGATCAATCGAATTTCAAATCCCCGAAATCCTTTCACACGTTCTCAAGTAACCAGCCCGCGACTGAACAACACTCTACCGTGTTATTCCACCTTGATAAGATCATCGTCGCTCCAATCGTACAAGCCTTCGCGGTGACACCTTCTCTCTCTCTCTCTCTCCCAATTCCTCCTTCGGAAACTGTTGAACGAGAGGAAATGTGCCCCCTAGACCCGAGGACAACGTTCTCCGTCTCACAACGACGCACGTCGAACTTCAGCTTATCTACGGTGACGGGGGAGGGAGGAAAAACCGTTCCTCCGGTTCCGAACTGAGTGACGCGAGGAGTGGTGGTGAGCTTGCACGGTGAACTTGTTCGGTGAAAGTCATTTGTTTCGCATCACGGTGGCCATTTTGCCGCCTCCTACAAGTCCACCACCCTGTGTGTAGCCTCACGTACCAGTGCACCACGGCAGGACGCGCGCGAGCAACCGAGCGCGCAAGCGAACCCAGACGAGCTTTCGTGAGCTTTCGACGCGACCGTGTACGTCCAACTGAAAGCTCAGCCGGAGGAGCTGCCGCGCACGAGGCACTGTCGCGTTCTGCGAGCGTATTGATTGCGCTCTCCGCGGTTGCTTGCTTTCCTGGCCACCTAACGGTCTCTGACCGTGTTAAGTCCTCCTGCAAAAGCTTTTCCGCGCTACCAACACACACCGCACGCACTGCTCTGAACGTGCAAACGGTACGCGAGGGTGACGACGAGGAGACACGTTTAGAGTGTACATGTACCGCCTCGACCTCTGACGAATTCTCCGGTATTAATGAAAGAACTTTGTTGCTCTTGGCAAACAAGATTCGAACTTTCCTCCGTAAAAGCTTTCGTCCGTATGCGACACGTTGGTCCCGCGGAAGCTCGAGTTTTCTTGCGTATCGATGTCACGAGGGAGATTTGTCGGGTTACGAGGTGCAACGAGACGATGGGATGAATTTTTTTCTTGGGTACTGGGAAGGATAGTTGAAAATGGGATTGATAATAATTGAGACGATGGAGGAGATGGTATGGGGGATGAGGTTGAAAGTATTGTTGAAATAGGTGGCAGGTGATTCTTCGTGCAGAGATGAATGAAATTTTTTCGTAGGAGGCTTAATTTTTGAGAAAATCGGGTTTTGAAGGAGATTTGCGTGCGCTGGTGTGAATGGGTGTTAGGACACCCGGTATATTAGTGCAGAAGGTTCTATGAGATTTAGATACATTTCCTAGTGGAAGTTAGTGTGATGTATTGGTAAAAATGTACATGTGTACTTGTTATACTTTGAGTTTATTGATTTTAATAATTTTGTAATGATTTTTCTGTGTTAAACAATTTTGTATTAAACTTGTAATGACAACGAGGCTTGCTTCACATTCAGTAAGTGGATTTCAGTAGAATTCAGAGGAATTTCAGGCGAATTCAGACGAATTTAGTAGATTTCCTTAAATTTCAGTAGATTTCATTATGCTTCACATTCGCTAACAACCAAATACTTATGAACGGGAGTGTACGTCTGCGAGAGAACAGCAGTTCCAACAACTGCTTGCTTAACACAATAAAATATTGTTGATCAAATTTTGTCTTTGTGCTTTCTTGAAGCTGGTGCTTTCTTGAACTCGTAAAAGTCGCGCAGAAGTTCCATAGAAACACGATAGACATTGTATATCGTTCGACGAACCGTACTTTACCTACGTAAGTGCACACGTACCCAACAGATTTTCAAACCCAGTTTTCCCAAAAACTATACCTCAGATGAACAAATTTCATTCTACATATTTCATCCATTTTTGCATAATAAATCACCTCCTGTCCATTTACACGATATTTTTCGTCTCACAGGATGTATATTTATTATTATTATGTGATTATGTCACGTGTTGAACTCTTCATTTATCGAATATTGAGTTGCATGTTACTTTGGCAATTACGTTCAAATTTTTGATTTTGTATATTGCTTATCTATACAAATTGTTACAAACGACAAATGAGATTTTTTTTTTAGAGTAGGAAGTTGAATAGTTTAAATTTTCTTTTTCGAATTTTTTCGAATTCTTGCGCAATTTTGAAACTTTTCCGTTTTGCGTGAAACGGTATTTACATGTTGACTGTGTCTGTCTGTGTAGTTCGTGTAATCCGTAATTTAATATAGAGGATCTACCTAATCCCCTTTCCCATACTAAATTAATAAGTACGTGCAACTTCCTATACGTATGAGTTATAAGAAACTATAATACACACTT